AAAAAAAAAAAAAAAAAGCTTATGGGAACCTGTCAGACAAAGCCAGAGAGCTATATTCACTGCATACAGGAAGCTGGCCTTGCCAAGTGTGCACCTGAGCCACGCAATGGCTGCATCAGCAGCTGGATTGGGACTTTGCACACATCTGAGCACAGGTGGGGCAGCACCCAGAGGGGCACAGATAGGTGGCTACCAGGACCAGGTATGCAGGTTCCAGGAGCAAGGCTGGCAGTGGCAGTCATGGCTTCCACCACCCAGTTGGTGCGGCTGCTTCCTGATCATGTACAGCAACCACTGCCACCTAATCTGGGAGCCCAGGGGTGTCCCAGGCCCAGCCAGCACCACCAGTGCCCACAGCAGGAGCTGAAGAGCTGCAGCAGATGCTGCCCTGCACCAGGAGTGAAAGGCCACACGGCTACTGGACAGGTGAATGAAGGCAGAAGGAGGAGAAGGAGGTGCTACAGGGTTGATGAGACCTGCATCCCACTGCTTGCTCCTTCTGGGACTTCGAGGTCTTTAAAAACATCAGGGGGAAACAATAAGCAAAAGGAGAGCTAATTTCCCTTTTAAGGAAAACAAAAACAACATACATGCAGCCAGATGTTGCCCAAACAGACATTAAGCAATGCATACCTGCACTACTTTTTCTAAAAGAACTCTCAAATCAAGGGATGGACACTGGGAAAAGGTAATTGTGGGAAGGAAGTGGGAGGGGAGCTGTTGTATTGTGGTAAAATGTGCTCAATGACATGAGACAAAGTATATGTGAACTGCTGTATGGAAAGTGAATTTGCTCTGTAAATCTTCACCCAAATCACAAAAAAAAAAAAAGAATGTCCATATAAATAGAACTAACATTGGGAAACTTATGATAACGTCATAGCCATAGCCAACAACAACAACAAAAAACTCTCAAATCAAGCAATTTCTTGTAAGTGAGTGGGCATAACAGGCAGAATTCTAGATGGCCTCCACGATCCTCAGCCCATGGTATCATTCCCATGATTGTTACATGGAAGAATTTTTACAGATGTAACTAAGGTTATTAATAGTTGATCTTTAGAAAAGAGATGACTATATTTGTATGCAAATAAAGACGTAGCATACTCAGGTGAGCCCAATCTAACCACACGAGCCCTCAAAAGCAGAGCTTTCTCAACTGGCTGCTGAAGGAGAAGCCAGAGATCTGAAGCGTAAGAGTGAACACACGCGAGGGAGGTTCTCCACTGCTCAGACAGAAGGGGCCACAAGGACTTGAGAGTGCCCTCTAGGAGCTGAGAGGTTCCTGGCCAATAGCAGCAAGAAAGCACAGACCTCAAGTCCTACAACCACCAGAAACTGGATTCGGCCAACAACACGAATGAGCTGGGAAGAAGATTCCTCTCCAGAGCTTTCAGTGAAGAGTCTAGCCCAACCTATGCCTTGATTTCACCCTTGTGAGACCCTGAGCAGAGAACCCAGTCAAGTCTGTGTGGACTTCTGATCACAGAACTGTGAGACAATGAAAAACTCACAGGATGATACAGACTACTCACCATCCTTTAACCTTTGCCCACCCACTTCGATGTTAATCCTTCTGTGACTGAGACTCAATTATGATCTGGATCGTGGCTGGAAAATCATGAATTTCCCACTGAGTTACTGCAACTTTTCTGCCAAGAGTTAGGTGACAGAGAAGCGTTTACTTCCACCAGTAACAAGCAGAGCAAACTCCACTATCCCCTCCAGTAAATGCAGCCTTCAACCTGGCACATTCATTTCTCTCCTGGTGGTGCAATGGTTAAGCACTCAGTAGTTCAAACCCAACAGCCATGCCACAGGAGAAAAGACCTGGCAATCTGCTCCCATAAAGATCACAGTCTAGGAAACGGAATGGGATAGTTCTATTGTCATGTAGGGTTGCTATGAGTGAGAACTGACTCAACAGCACACAATGACCACCACAACATCCCTAACAAATGCCAGCAGGATACTGCTGCCATACACCCGTCTTTATTCTATAAATTTTTAGAAAGTAAGCCTAAGAAAGGAACAGCAGGACCAATGAAACAACAATATCAAGGCTTTTAATGAATAGCTGAACTAGCTGACCTTGAAAGTCTCCTGCACTCTGAGACTCCATGTCCTGGGTCCTTTCTTTAAGGAGGTGAAGAAAGACCAGAGCTTTAATCAGAGTTTAATGCTGAAATAAAGTAAATTAGGTTTGCATTTTTATATAAAAGACTACTAAATATAACGTACCTTCAGTTTCATCTTGGACATTTTCCTGCAGGTCAGAGAAGATTGTAGGTTTCACCAAGACAACGCCATAACCTTCATTATTGTGTATGACATTATTCACCATGATTATTTTGGGGATGTCATAATGCTCATCTAAGAAGTCCTGTGACATTGAAAACAAGTGTTTTAAGGAACTGTCACATTCAACACTGCCGCTTTAAAACTCTTCTCACTTTTTTTTCAGGCTGTTCTAAAAATAAGTAGAAAAGCTATGCTTATTAATATGTCGTAGCACAGTCTGAGCTCTGAGTGAGACAGCATTCCTGTCATTTTCACAAATCTAAAGGCAGTAAAGCATTTTCACAAGAGACTTTCTATCCTCAACTATTGATATTATTAAAATTTATATACTATTTATGCATTTCCAAACCAGAAAACAGCAGAATCCAGTATGGGAATTTAATCAAACATAATTTTTCTTAGATGAAACCATTCTCGTCTCTGGAAAGAAGTTGTTTCAGCAGGTGCTCACCTTAATGAGTATCCCTTCTTTGCAGTGATGGATCCCATTGTCACTCAGGGTGCACTTACTGCCGGGATATATTTCTATTCCAGCACCCTACAAGTTACAATTTGAGGTATTGACAATCAGCTTTTAAAAGGCAGAACTATAAGAGGTTTGTTATAATCACTACTAACCCTTTCACACAGTGCAATGTAATGTGAAAATATAAAATGTCTTAGGGATAAGTTTTATTAGGTATTTCTTATCAACATTTCCATTTGCTCTATTTTCAGGTAGTTGTCTACCATTATCACTTTCAGAAACAAAACAAAATACTCACACACACACACAACACACACACACTGGCTAAGAGTGTTAACATCTAATTCCTATCCCATTTTCTCATTCTGGCAAATCAGTTTTCTGATTTTATAAAAAGAAAAAAAAAAATCATTTAAAAATTTTGTTAAAGATACACTTGGATGCTAAATAACCATTCCCTCAGAGACGCTAGACTCATTGGAGAACAGCAATTCTGTCTAGTAAAACATTGCAATTTGAGGATAGAAACAAGACCCTATGTTTAAAAAAAAAAAACACCAATTTTTAAATAGCTAACCTAATCTGAAAATCCCACCTAAGAGTTAAACAGTTAATAGCCCCCACTATTACATGCATGTTAAAATTAGCAGCCAATTCAAGTGTCTTGTTTATAAAGAGTAATCAGAAAGATTTATGCATGGCCCAATTCTCTAACACTATCCCTCATCACCAATCAAAGTTACCAACTAAAAAGTAATAACAGCAACAATTTACTTCCTGATGCTGCTATGGTAGGCACAATGGGAAGTGAATATGATTCAGTCAAACTTCTATATTTAAGAAACCATTTGAGGAATAATACATAATTTCATAGATGAAGAATTGCTATCAACCATTTATGACACCACATACCATATGTATATTCACCACCTGTCAGTTTGTCATACTGTGATGGCTTGCGTATTACTGTGATGCTGGAAGCTATGTCACTGGCTATTTCAAATACCAGCAAGGTCACCCATGGTGGACAGGTTTCAGTAAAGCTTCCAGACTAAGGCAGACTAGGAAAAAGGATGTGGCAGTCCATTCGTGAAAAAATTGGTCACAGAAAACCATATGAATAGCAGTAAAACTTTGTCTTATCTCTTGCCAGATGAGCTCCTCAAGTTGGAAGGCACTCAAAATATGACTTGGGAAGAGCTACTCCACTCCACAAAGCAGAGTCAACTTTAATAATGTAAATGGAGTAAAACTTTCAGGACCTACATATGTTGATGTGGCATGACTCAGAGAAGAAACAGATGAAACATCCACTAATAATCAGAACATGGAATAGAATAAGGATGAATCTAGGAAAACTGGGAGTTGTCAAAAATGAAATGGAATGGCTAAACATTGATATCCTAGGCATTAATGAGCTGAAATGGACTGGTATTGGCCATTTTGAATCGAAAATCATATGGTCTACTATTCTGGGAACGACAATTTAAAGAGGAATGGTGTCACATTCATTGTCAAAAAGAATGGTTCAAGATCTAGCCTCCTGAAGTATAATGTTGTCCATGACAGGATAACATCCATATGCCTACAAGAAGACCAGTTAATATTACTATTATTCAAATTTACACACCAACCACTAAGGCCAAAGATGAAGAAATTGAAGATTTTTATCAACTTCTGCAGTCTGAAACTGACCAAACATGCAATCAAGATGTATTATTATTACTGGTGATTTGAATGTGGAAGTTGGAAACAAAGAAGCATCAGTAATTGGAAAATAAGGCCTAGGTGATAGAAAATATGCCAGAGATCACATGATAGAATTTTGCAAGACTAAGGACTTATTGACTGCAACTATCTTTTTCCAACAATTTAAACAGAGACTATACATGTGGACTGTGCCCTGTGGAACACACAGGAATCTAAACAACTACATTTATGGAAAGAGATGACAGAGGAGTTCAGTATCAGTCAGAACAACGGCAGAGGTCGACTTGGAACAGACCATCAATTGCTCATATGCAAGTTTAAGGTGAAGCTGAAGAAAATTAAAACAAGTCCACAAAATATGACCTTGAGTAAACCCCACCTGAATTTAAAGACCATCTGAAGAACAGATTTGACACATTCAATAACCATGATCAAAGACCAGAGGAGTTGTGGGATGACATCAAGGAAATCATACATGAAGAAAGCAAAAGGTCATTAAAAAGACAGGAAGGAAAGAAAAGACTAGAACAGATGTCATAAGACTCTGAAACTTTCTCTTGAATGGAGAATAGGTAAAGCAAATGGAAGAAATGAAATACGAGAGCTAAACAGAAGTTTCAAACAGCAGTTTGAGAAGAAAAGACTAAAGTACTATAATGAAATGTGCAAGACCTGTTGTTGTTGTTGTTGTTGTTATGTGCCGTCGAGTCGGCCCCGACTCATAGCGACCCCTCCTTGGGTTTCCGAGGCAGTATCATTACGGAAGTAGGATTGCCCAACCTTCCTTCCGAGGAGTGGCTGGTGGGTTTGAACCGCCAGCCTTCTGGTTAGCAGTCAAGTGCTTTAGCCACTATGCTACCAGAGACCTAGAGTTAAAAAATCAAATGAGAAGAACACACTAGGCATTTCTGAAATTGAAAAACTGAAGAAAAAATTCAAGCACTGACTTGCAATACCAAAGGATTCTATGGGCAAAATATTGAACAACGCAGGAAGCATCAAAAGAAGATGGAAAGAATACATAGAGTCACTGTACCAAGAAGAAGTGTTGATGTTCAAACATTTCAGGTGGCAGTCATCAAGTTGCTTTTGATTCATAAAGACCATAAAAAAAACAAAACAAACTCACTGCCATCAAGTCAGTTTCTGACTCATAGAGACCCCTCCTTGAGTTTCCAACGTGGTATCTCTACAGAAGTAGACTGACCAGTCTTCCTTCTGAGGAGTGGCTGGTGGGTCTGAACTGCCAGCCTTCAGGTTAGCAGTCAAATGCCGTAGGCACTACACCATGTACAACAAAACAAAATACTGCCCGGTCCTGTGCCATCCTCATAATCGTTGCCATGCTTGAGCCCCTCGTCAGTCACCGTGTCAATCCATCTGGGTGAGGGTCTTCCTCCTTTTCACTGACCCTCTACTTTACCAAGCATGATATCCTTCTCCAAGGACTGGTCCCTTCTGACAACATGACCAAAGTACTAGAGACGATGTCTGGCCATTTAAGCTCCTAAGGAACATTCTGGTTGTATGTCCTCTAAGACACATCTGTTTGTTCTGCTAGCAGTCCACAGTATACTTAATATTCTTCACCAACACCACAATTCAAATGCATCAATTTTTCTTCAGTCTTCCTTATTCATTCTCCAGCTCTCACGTGCATATAAGGCTATTGGAAATACCATGGCTTGGGTCAGACACACCTTAGTCTTCAAAGTGACATCTTCACTCTTTAACACTTTAAAGAGGTCTTTTGCAGTAGATTTGTCCAATGCAGTAAGTCCTTCGATTTCTTGACTGCTGCTTTCATGGGCATTGATTGTGAATCCAAGTAAAAGGAAATCCCGGACAACTTCAATCTTTTCTCCGTTTATCATAATGTGGCTAATTGGGCCAATTGTAAGGATTTTTGTTTTATGTTGAGGTATAATCCATACTGCAAGCTGTATGTAGTCTTTGACCTTCATCAGTAAATGCAAGTACTCTTCATTTTCAGCAAGCAATGTGGTGTCATCTGCATATAGCAGGTGGTTAATGAGTCTTCCTCCAATCTCGATGCTGTGTTCTTCTTCATATAGTCCAGCGTCTCAGATTATTTGTTCAGCATACAGATTAAATAAGTATGGTAAAAGGATACAACGCTGACACACATCTTTCCTGATTTTAACCCAGCAATATCCCTTTGTTTTGTTCAAACGACTGCCCCTTCATCTATGGATAGTTCCTCATGACCACAATTAAGTGTTAAAGAATTCCCATTCTTTGCAATGTTATTCATAATTTGTTATGATCCACACAGTCAAATGCCTCTGCATAGTCAATAAAACAAAGGTAAACATCTTTCTGGTATAATCTTTGCTTTCAGCCAAGCTACATCTGACGTCAGCAATGATATCCCTCACTCTACATACTCCTCTGAATCTGGCTAGAATTTTTGGCAGTTCCCTGTCAATATACTACTGCAAGTGTGTTTATATTATCTTCAGCACAATTTTACTTGTGTGTGATATTAATGATATTGTTCAATATTTTCTTCATTCTGTTGAATCACCTTTCTTTGGAATGGGCACAAATATGGATCTTTTCCTGTCAGTTGGCCAGGTAACTGTCTTCCAAATTCCTTGGCATAAACAAGTGAATGCCTCCAGCTCTGCGTCCATTTCGTCCATTTGTTGAAACATGTCCATGGGTAGTCCATCAACTCCTGGGGCCTTGTACTTCATCAGTTCCTTCAGTGCAGCTTAGACTTCTTCCTGCAGTACCATTGGTTCTTGACTATGTGCTCCCTCCCGAAATGAATGAACGTTAGCCAATTTTTTTGGTAAGTGACTCAATCAACACAGAGAAGGTATCTGACAAATCCAACTCCTTTTCAGGATAAAAACACTCACAATCTAAGAGTATAAGGCAAGCTCCTCCATCTGATAAAATGCATTATAGAAAACCCACAGCTAACATCATACTCAGTGGAGAGACTTAGAGCTTTCCCCTTAAGATCAGGTACAAGACAAGGATGCCCACTCTCACCACCGCTATTCATTATTATACTAGAAGGTCTAGCCAGAGCAATTAGGCAACAATAGAAAAAAAAGTATACAAATCAAAAAGAAAGAAGTAAAACCATCCCTTTTCACTGATGGCATGACCCTATACATAGAAGACCACAAAAATTCCACAAGAAAGCTACTAGATGGAAATAGAAATACCATTTGATCCAGCAATCCCATTACTAGGTAAATATCCTAAAGAAGTGAGAGGCAGGACACGAATAGATATACGCACACTCATGTTCATCGCAACACTATTCACAATAGCAAAGAGATGGAAACAACCTAAGTGCCCATCAACTGAGGAATGGATAACCAAACTATGGTACATACACACAATGGAATACTGTGCAACACTAAAGAATAATGTAGAATCTGCAAAACACCGCAGAACATGGATGGACTTGGAAAGGACATTATACTGAGCGAAATAAGTCAATCACAGAAGGATAAATATTGTATTAGTCTACTACCGTCAAAAGTCAAGGAAAGGTTTATACACAGAGGGAAACGTTCTTTGTTGCTTACCAGGGATGGGAAGGGAGGGGAGAGAAAATTTCTGGATAGGTTAAAAAAAAAAAAGATATATACATATATACACACCTATATATGCATACCTATATATACTACCAAAGATTATTAGTAGTCACTAGGGGTAAGAAGGAGCTCTGGTAGCATAGTGGCTAAAGCGCTTGACTGCTAACCAGAAGGCTGGCGGTTCAAAGCCACCAGCCACTCCTCGGAAGGAAGGTTGGGCATTCCTGCTTCCGTAGTGATACTGCTTCGGAAACCCAAGGAGGGGTCACTATGAGTCGGGGTCGACTGGACGGCACATAACAACAACAACAACAACAGGGGTAAGAGGGAGGGGGAAAGGGGAAGCTTCTGTTCGTGGGCCATTGAGTTTATGCTAATGGTAGTGGAATATTTTGGGAAAAAAGAGCAATAATGGTGGCACAACATAAAACATGTCATCAATGTTCCTGAGCTGTAAATGGGGAAGTTGTTATGTTGGTGAATATCTTGTTATGTAAGTTTTCCCCACAATAAAAGTGAAAAAAAAAAAGAGAAAGAAAGAAAACTACTAGAGCTAATCAACGAATTCAGGAAAGTAGCAAAGTGTACAAGGTGTACTTTAGGTACAAAGTACACAAAATCAGTCAGGTTTCTACACATCAGCAATGAGCAACCAGAAAAGGAAATTTAAAATGCAATTCTATTTACAGTAGCAGCTAACAGGGTAAAATACCTAGAAATAATTTTAGCCAAGGAAGTTAAAGACTTACCTGTTCACTGAAAATTATAAAACATTACTAAAACAAATCATAAAAGACCAAAATAAATGGAAAGACATTCTATGTTCATGGATCAGAAGACTTAATGTTATTAAAATGTCAGTACTATTCAAAGAAATCTATAGATTCAACACATTCCCCACCAAAATTCCAATAGTACTCTTTGCAGAACTAGAAAAATCAACCCTCAAATTTATACAGGGGCTCTGAATAGACAAAGCAATCATGAAAAATAACAGTTGGAAGACTCATAGTTCTTGGTCGTAAAACACAGTATAAAGCTACAGTTGTCAAAAAAAGTCAGGTTCTGGTATAATGACAGACATACAGACCAGTGGAATAGAATTAAGAGTTCAGAAGTAAACCACAGACAACTGATTTTCAACGGGTCTAAGCCTCTCCTAAAGTTTCCAGAGAGCTACTAGGAACTTTATTCTTTTTCTTCTTAAACTGTTTTGAAAATGCTAAATGAGAATAACCTGGTATAGTTAAGTCTGGCTGACTACATATACTTAAGCATATGAACTTCTTTGAAGAAAGACAATAGGAATATGCATTCACACTTTGGCTCCATATTTTATTGATTCATTTAGAATGTGAACCCAAGGTACTTCACCAAAAGGATAGGAGACCGCCATACCTTGGCACCATATAAGTCTGAGTTCCTCATTAATAATTCTGCTGATGTTCGTACTGTGACTCCTGTAGTTTCACACTGCAGTACACAGTTTTCCAATGTAGTTTTGCCACGGTGAATGCCTAGGATAAAAACATACAATAGACTGCTTTAAGAACTACTGTGCATTTTCAGTGTTAGAAATGGTCTCGAGCGAACATTAGATATGGTCCTCGGAAGGAAGGTTGGGCAATCCTACTTCCATAGTGACACTGCCTTGAAAACCCAAGGAGGGGTCGCTATGAGTCAGGGCTGACTCGACAGCAAATAACAACAACAACAAATAGTCAATAGTTTTCAAACTTTATCATCTGAGTTATAAATTCACAATCTATAAAACAATGACTATTTTGAGTTATTTTCTAAAGTTTAAAAGCAACATTCTTAAAAAAGAATGATTTGACTGCAAAAATGCAAAATCAAATTAAAAAGCACTTTTGATTAGAAAAAAGTATCAGAGAGTAACTTTGTTGAGTATGTTGGAAGGAAGAAGAGAGCCCTGATTCAAGAGAGGGAGCACAGATCCCAGGAAATAAATATTACAGAAACATGAAGATAGCTAGCCTGAAGCTATTGCTAGATGGAAAACAAAGAAGAAAACAGACCACGATACTGGAACGTTTTAAAAGGAAAAAAAAAACTGATCACACAGAAAAGAAGTTAGTATTAAACTAAGAAATCTGGAAGAATAGGCTGAACTATTTTTCACTTTGGAGGAAGCTTCCTAAATTGTTACTTTATGTATATAAATAATCAGCCTTCCATACACTCAAGAGTGGTTTTTCATTAAAGTCTACCTTTCATGAAAAGCAAAGTTTTTCTTCAAAGCCTGGAACAAATGATACACCAAATATTCAAATACTTACTTAAGATTCCTTCTACAGCACCATGCTGAACAAATTTTATGCTTGAGATTTTAATATCCACACCTGTACAATCCACAAAAGTGTCTCCTTTGCCCCTCTTTTCTATCACAATATCATCTGGTAAACCATATCCTAAGGAAGAGAACAAGAACAAGATGGGTGAAAGGAAATGTCTAATCAGTAAAACGTAGATTTCTTTAAAAGACACTGTATATATTTGAGAACAATCAACTAGTGCATTTAAATAATATCTAATTATCTCCATGTGTCTTGATTAATTTAAAACATGGTATTCAATTTTTAACAGTTGCAACTTCCCAATTTGCCCCCTATCAGGGAGACTACCTTCTGAACCATCTCAGACACGCTCAGCATTAAATCCACTCACAGAACTACTATGGAACAGTAAATAAATAATCCAAATGTTCACAGTTGAGTGAAAAGGCTTTAAGTACTCCATCCTTCTAAGTTTTTTATTTTTTCCAACTCCATGATTCTATAATAACATAAATTAGCTTTAAAAAAGCCTAACAATTTATCAAGATTATCTAATTTTAATATTCTCTTCAACTGCCTGATTTAAAAACTGACAATTAGCCATAAAACAATTTAGCTACTGGAAAAAGTAGCCTACCTTGTTAACCAATAGAAATCATTAGATTTTTATAAATCTGAATTCAAACTAAAATACAGGTGGGGCCATTGAGTGGGCTTACCAAAAAATGAAGAATCAGAAATCTAGAGAACTGGCCTGATTTTCATCATGAAACTGAACCACACTGACAAAGCTGTAAATAAGAAGTAAGTCTCATTGTCTAAAGATAAATCTTGACTTAAGTAAGTAAAATCAGTAACTGTGTCAACCAGGCCAAACCACGGAGGAAACCTACACGTGAAGAGAACAGACAAGCCTTCGGGGATGCCGGCAAATGCCCCAGGACTTCTTACACCAGAACGCTGCCGGCAGTAGTGGAGGGTCTTTTTTTAATCTTTTATATGTGTCTGCATGTACTTGGCACATTTTCTACAATAATCATTGCTTTTTCTCATTAGAAAAATTAAAAGTATAAAAAGAATTGCCATGGAAGTGGGATGAGTCATGTTACATTGTGGAGACTGCAACCAATGACATGAAACAAATGGGTATGAACTGTCCAATGGATAACTGATTTGCTTTGTACACCTTCACACAAATCACAATAAAAAGTTTAAATAAACAAATAAAAAGAATTGCCACAATGAGAAATATACACAAATTATGTACTCTTAGCAGTTTAAAACGTAAAACCATCAATAAGTAAATGGAAGTTCTAAATAAGAAAACTCGGAAGGAAGGTTGGGCAATCCTACTTCCGTAGTGATACTGCCTCGGAAACCCAAGGAGGGGTCGCTATGAGTCGGGGCCGACTCCACGGCACATTAACAACAACAACAACAACAAACAAGAAAAACTTTACTATATAATGCTCATGGAGCTCTGGTGGTGTAGTGCCTAAGGCATTTGACTACTAACCAGGAGGTTGGTGATTCAAACCCACCAGCTGCTCCATGGAAGAAAATGAGGCAATCTACTTCTGCAGTAAGTTTGGTTGTTTTTTTTTAATAATGCTAATACCCTGCACATAGTAAGTACTCAGTATATATCTCTCGTTGTAAGTGTTAGCTATGCTTATTATCAGAGAAACTTAAATATTACTCATGAACAAGTACTTCATATACTCACACTAGTAGAGAGATCATCTGAGTCCTCAAATTCTGAGAATGCCCTCTGTTGGTAAATTTACACTCATTTTTACACTTAACTATCAGAATTCTGGATGGCTATTTATGACCCTCTGGCAATCACATTATAATTTCCTCACCAGTCTACAAAGAACTCTTATCTACCACACAATCTATAATATCAGTGTTATTTTCACTATGCCAAAAATAAAGTGTTTTTATTGCAGTGTTTTATCCTGCAGATGTGTTATTTATACACACATATCTATATAAATCAAATAGTGGAGAGGAGAAAGAACAAAAATTACACACATAAAACAAAAAAGGGGTGAGATGATGTACTAGTGAACAGCAGGAAATTAAACTCCCAGCCTTGCTTCCATTAAGAAGTTTTGACAAGATAAAGATAAAGAACATAGCTTAAGCAGTTTGTGAACAGCTGCACAAGTCCCAAAATGATATACGATTTTTTTGCATTACAAGCTTTATTGCTAACTTGAAGCTGTTTTGGTAAATAGTGGAACAGGTGTATATAAATTTGACACATTATGGAAATGTACAGGACCAAGATGAACGATTGTAAAGTAACCTAAATTTAGGAATCACTCTAAATGGACAATAAAATTATAACCACTAAAAAGTTATCTTTAATAGAAACTTTCAACATTAATTTTCTCAAAACTATTTGGCCAACACACAAAGTACAGAATTTGTAACATTCAGCAAGCTTTTAAAGAATTAAGATCATGTTTATTTTCTATCAATTTCAAGTTAAATGTACTTCACTGTACTCTAACAAAAATATAGGCAGCGCCTGGGTTATAAACATCCCACTGACATCTAACCTGTAGTTACAAACCAACCCCTACAAAACCTATTATATTAAAAATTCAAGGTGCATAGCATGGTTTGTATTAACAAATGGGTGCTACTTTGCAATGTGCAACAAAACATTATGATTATTACCGTATTATTATGTTAAAGATGTTTTAGTGCATCTGGAAGTGTTTAAAAGATTTTTTTATGCATAGAACAGTACACTAAGACAAACAATTGACTAACGTTAGATCAAACTATACCTAATTGTTCCAACTTACATACAAATGCAACTTACAGGTTTAGGAACGGAACTCATTCATAATCCAGGAACTGCCTCTAAGCTAAATTTAAAACAAATAACCACACACCAAATACCCACAACATATATGACATAAGAGCAAGTAACAAGTCCAATATAGCATACTAAACTAAAAATATATTGCTGGGAATATTTATTCTAGAAATTAGATTTTCTCTCTATAAACCACCTACAATCTGGAAATACATTTCTTCTTAATGGCCTTTTATCCATATACTGACTGTGAACGTCCTCCCAACACATCTACATGTTATAAGAACCATAAATCAAATTGCTCAAACAATGGGTCAATTCCCTGCAAGCTTTCAATGCCATTAGTTGCATGGCAACTCATTTGAAATCAAATGAGTTAAAATTACCTTATTGAAGCTGCCACAAAGATCAGTAACTTAGGGTTTTCTTAGGCATAGCTCGCATGAGAGTCTGGTTGCAAGATCTCCCATACTCACCTTCCAACTCAATGGAGTCAGCAATGGAGAATGTGCCATGTACCACATAATGGCCAGGACATACAATAACAGTGTCGCCTTCATAGCAGGCATTTATAGCAGACAACGGATCGCCATGGAACTAGAAAACAACAATAACACACTGCAAATATGCTCCTCCCAAAAGTAACCCAAATATTATCCAGGTGTCTTCATGTCTCACTTTGAAAATGGAGTCAAAACTGAGTATTTCATTATCTACTTTGATAGTGCACTGAATGAAGCCCGTGCATGCTCGATTAAGTGACCACTGCTGACAAAGGGCAGTGCTCTCACTACTTCCCATTTCACAGAAAACTAGCTCTGGGAAGCTCCTGTATACACTCCGTAGAGTTCATGAAAATCGTGGGTGAATCAGAGGGAAAAAGCCACGTGGGGTGAGAAACCCTCCTTTTACCTGAATTTCTGTTTCTTCCTCACAAGGTTGCTGACAAAGCTTGTCCCTGAGCAGGGACTGCAGCAGACCAGTCACCATGGTGGAGGAAACCACGTGGGTAACCTTCTGACCACTCACTCGAACACCCTTTGCTTGGATGTTAGAATTCTTTTGGTAACCAAACACATATCTTAAAGAAAGCAAACAGACATACCAGTTTTCAGAAGATAGGTGGGGTGAAACCAAAGATGCCGATCAACTAAAAATAACAAAGACATACATACCTCAATAAAGGATTCTCGATGAGTTTAAGCTTTTGTTTCAACTGTTCCATCTCCGAATACAATTTTAACCCTTCCACCATAGAGATGTTTTCCTGCTCAGAGTCAGAGTTACAATTTGACAAACTGCTTCTCAGATTTAAAAACCTCCTGTAACTCTCCTCACACTGAGACAGCAAATTGCGGTAGTCGACAATTAGTCCTGATGGAACTCGGTCTTCAAGAATGTCATAATGCCTGAAAGTTTAAAAGCAAGAGAAAATCCAATGCCTTTCAGACACATTTTCTTATCATTAAGACAGCCCATTTAGTCTTCAAAGAGCCAGTAAGAAAAGCGTCTCATAGTGCATAACTCAGGTGCACATTAATTCCTACCGAACAGCACTTTATTCCAAGTGGAAGCTATTGAAAGTTTTAAGCATCACTTCATTATGGTCACTAATTTTTCTTCTGAGGAGTTGTTTTTTTTTTTTCCCAGACCGAAGTATTTGTCCTTTAGAAATACTAGAAATTCTAATATGTAAAAATTCACAATCTGTAATCATTACTTAGTAAGAAATTATTTTCTTCTCATTTAGTAGATTTAAAATCTAGTAATAATAAATGGGTGCCAAGGAGGATACAGTGGTGAGGCATAGGGAGGGAAAGTATCCCAAATTAGTTCATCACAATGTTTAAGACCACCATACAGCTATGATCAGAAATTGGAAGCAATCCAAATCATCTAGTCCTTCCTTATATTTAAAGCACTGTGGCTCAAATGATGTTGAATTTCCTTCAGGAAGATGACTGGACACTTATTAGCACTTAAAAGTTATTATTAATTTAGATACCTTCTCAAGCAGAAAATAAATTGAGAATAAAAATTATTTCTAGATTAATAATAAAATACGTACAATCAATTGACTGGATTTGAAATTAATAGATTTTAAAATAAAGTACAATATTTTTGCTATTACCTACAGTTTTAAAATAATTGCTTTACTTTTCATTTAAAAGTATATTGACTAGATGACTTAGCCCAGAGGGCCCCAACCCTGGCTGCACATTAGAATTCACCACAGAGTTTTTAAAACTTGCAGGTGTTCAGGCCCCTCCCAGACCAACTAACACTATCTCTCAAGGTAGAGAAGTGTTTGCTAAGTTCTCTGGGGATTCTAACACACAACTAAGGTTGAGAATTGCTGCCTTAGATGACTTTTTTTTTTTTTTTAACTTAGTCATGCTCTAAATAAGAGGTTGTTGTTGCTGTTGTTAGATGCCACTGAATTGGTTCCAACTCTTGGTGACCCAATACACTACAGAACAAAACAATGCCTGGTCCTCACCATCCTCACAAATCGATGCTATGTTTGAGCCCATTGTTGTAAACACTAGGTCAGTGTACTTAAGAGTCCTCTTCTTTTTCACTGACCCTCTACTTTTTAAGATAGGAAGGGGAAAAAAAAAAAAAGAAATATATCCCAAATAAATTTACATCAAATTATGGTGAACACTCAAAGTTATTTAAATATTTTTTTTTTATCCATCTTTCCAATAAACGAATTTGGTAAAGCTTGAAAAGCCAGAATTTTGTGTGCTTTGGTTAATCCACACTCATTTAAAGAGATTTTGAAAATCCACTTTGCAAACAAGAAATAGGGGACCAAACCACTGACTGCTGATCAAGTCAATTAAGTTGTGAAGATGAAGACTCAAATTTTAACATAAGTGTCTTAGCCTTTCCAATATCCATGTCAATCAGCTTATTTCTCCTTGCTATATCGATACTTCATAGTCTGGAAGCAATGAACCAACATCTCTGTGTTTCAGACCCGTAAGCTTTGAAGCAGAGTGTTTTGAATTAGAAAGGAAAAATATTATTGTACAGTACAAAATCAAAACAGTTTGGTTTAATACCCTCTGAATCTTGCTTGTTGCCACCTCTACTCCTGTGTTAGCCCAGAGATCTTTAGTCTGCCTACCTCTGATAACATTCCAGACTTTCCATCAAGTGCCAGTTTCTTCCCCATAACTGAAAACAATTCCTCCCTTATGCTATCCCATCTGCCAATGCTGTACAATGCATGTATGTAAATCATTTCTTGTTGTTAGCACATATAAGGCTGTCAAATGGGAATACATTTTTTTCTCAAGTAGAGATCAAATTTGACAGATACACACGATATTCAACTACCATTGCATTTCACTACAATCAAAACCAATCATTACTCTTTAAGAGAAAATGTGTCAAACTTAGAAAAACCTAAAGTGGAAATTCTGGCATTTTATTAAACATGCTATGGGAATACAGAAAATATACAATGGAAAAATTGGAAAAAGGGCTAAACAGAAATAACAGCCAATTTATGAAAAGCTGAAACAAGACATACATAATTCTAAACTAGCCACACTTTTCAAATATGTTTTTATTTTATTATTTACTATTTAAGCCAAGAGAAATTTACTAAATCTGATTGGGTTTCCCAGTAACGTAAAGGGTTACTGCATGATCTTATGGAACCAAATCATCTTTCACACAAGGGAAAAAATTTATCTCCTACAATTTTTTCTTTTTAAATGCAAGTTCTAATTTTATTCTTATTTCAGCATGGCCTATTAAATTAATGCTCATGAATACGAGGTAAAATTACCTGGTCTTAGAACACCATCTAGTGGAGGGTCTACAGCCACCCTAACCAGGTCAGTGCAGAGCAATCATTTGGGTGTTTGTGTGTGGAAAGCTTTCCCTACCAAAGTGATAAATCAGGAGAAGAAAGTGTTCAGGTATTTTGGAAATTTTACTCACCACCAGTATTAACAATTTATTATCTTCATCTATTTGTCAAATCAAGATTTAAGAAAAATGAGCTTGACAAAACATGCCAAGGTAAGACCAATAGTTTAGCGTGTTTTCTGTTGGAGGTTAGAATAAAGCTATGTATCTTTAAAAACGTTCTTTTTTTAAAAAAAAAAAAAAAGGATTCTATAATTCAAATAATGTTTTTCAAACAATTTTCTTTTCATTAAACAAAGGAGTTTTAACATATTAGCTCAATTGGATTTTATTCAGTTTTACAGAAGAGTGAATTATTAACAGAGATATTCTTGAATTCTCTGCTTTTAGATGCAGTTTATAAACACTAAAAGCATGTTTCTCTGCACTCGTACAAGTTTCATTCAATAACTTGTCAATGGGTTGTACTATTTGTATGTGGTTCCATTTCTGCCTATGGGCCCCTGGCATACATTCATACAGATACACACACACACACATTGCACAGGTAAGATTAAACTGAGATATCTATTTTTCCCAGAATGTATCAAGGTCAGTAACAAATATTTACAATCTCAGTCGAGGTTCAACACATCTGACAAAATAATCATACTCATCCTCCTCTTCTTCATCCCAACTCCTCCAAATGTTTTGGTAGAAAAACCTGAAAAAGAAGGTAGTATTATCAAAGTTAAATCACTGGCTCAAAATTTCAGGGGTTTAAGGGGGTAAAAAGTAAATTGTTTTGAGTAAGTTAAAATATGCTATCAACTATAGCAAATATTACACAACACTTTCATGTCCTACCATCACTAAAATACTCATGACCTTCTTTTGATCAACTAGAAAAGTTTTCTCCACAATAATAGTTCTGTTAGGATGTCTTTTTTTTTAATTGATCATTTGTAACTGGGTAGATGGTAGTGCCATCTACTGAGATCAGAAAGACTAGGAGAGAAACAGGTTTGGGGTTGAAAATAGAGTTCCATTTCACCATGAAAATGGGTTGAGATATCTATTTGACCTCCAAGTAGGTGATGTCAAGTAGGCAGATGAATATACAAGTGCAGAGCTCAGGAGGTCAGGGCTAGAGGTAGAAATGTGGGAGCTGTCAGCACAGTGATAGTATTAAAGCAATGACTGACATCATCCGGGGACATTGATATAAAGCAGTTCTCAACCCCAGCTGCACACTAGAAGCCCCTGGGGAGGTATTTTAAAAGCATCAGTATTTTTTAAAGTGATTTTTAACAGATTTTTATTATGGAAAATTTCAAACATATACAAGGCAGAGAGAAAACAGTATATCATGCACCTATCACCTAGCTTCAACAATTATCAATTCCTGGCAATTTTATTTCATCTCTACCCCACCCTTACTTCTCTGCCTCCCTCCCCCTACCACCTTGACATTTTGAAGCAAACCGTAGACATAAATCATTCATAAATTTTGTTATGCCTCTCTAAAAAATAACTTAAACAAAAAATTCAGTGTTCCAATGTCCTTCTCTCTTTAGTTGCTGCCACTGCTGTGGTAGTTGTCTTGTTCAGACCAGGATGCACACAAAGGTCAGCATTGCATTTAAATGACACCTCCCTAGCATCACTTTTATTCTGCAGATTACTCTTCCCTCTTTTTCTCCTTGAAATGTAGTCGTTTCCAACACTATGAATTTTATTGATTATATCCCCATGGTTTTGTTTCACATGTTCTTCTACTTCCTTTACTTCTAGTAAAGTGGTAGTAAGATCTAGAGACCTGATCAGCTTCAGGCAAGATTTTTCAGCAAGAATACTTCAAGGGAGGTGTAATGTACTTCCATCAGGATGCACATGTGGCTGACAGTCTCTCTTTTTGTGAAGCTAAGACTGATCAAGGAATTCAGGTGCTATCAGACTGATGCATCCACTCAATCTACTACAAAGTTCCCCATCCATTTCTCACCAAATGGCTTTAGTAGCCACTGATGCTTATTGCTTCAAACTTTTATTTTAGTAGTGGTTGCAAAACAGTGATATTCTGATCCTACCATTCCTTTTTCATGTATTAGCTGGAATATTTCTACAAAGAAAATACCCAGGTGACTCTATTGCACTTCTAAGGTTGATTACAGAGAGAGAAGAGTAGATGGCCGAGAACTGAGTCCTAATTAATGCCAACATTCTAAAGTTTGAACATGAGAGGAAGCACCAACCAAGGTAATACAAAAGGAAAGCCAGTGCAAGACCAAAAAAGAGAGGAAGATGCTAGCATACGTTATGACTCAGCAATGGCACTCCAAAAGACTTGAAAACAGACTCAAACAAATACTTGCACACAAATGTTCACAGCAGCACAATTTACCAAAAGCCCCTTAGTCCAAAGGTGGAAATGACCTAAATGTCCATCAGTGGATGAATGTACAAACAAATTGTAGCATATACATAGAATGGAATTCAGCCTTAAAAAGGAATGAAATATCAATACGTACTACAACATGGATGAACAGAGAAAAAGTTACACTAAGTGAAAAAAGCTAGTCACAAAACCACATGGTATTATGATTCCATCACATGAAATGTCCAGAACAGGTTACTCTATAGAGACAGAAGGTGTCCCTGGGTGATGCAAACAGTTAACACACTCAACTGTGAACCAAAAGGTTGGTAGTTCAGGTCTACCCAGAGCCACCTCCAAAGAAAGGCCTGATGGTTACTTCCAAAAACATCAGCCACTGACAACCCGATGGAGCACAGCTCTGCTCTGACACATACAAGGTCACCATGTGTCAGAATCGACTCAGTGGCAACTGACTTAGTTTAGTTTGGGTTTCTTGTCACCTAGTCAGGAAAGACTGTAATTCTTCTTCATAGCACTCACTGCAGTTTACAATCACATGTATATCTCTATGTGATTAGTGCCTGAAGGCTAATCTTCCACCTTTACAATGACAGCTCCCTGACAGTGACTGTCTACCCTTAATTCAGGACCCTGTACTCAAATATCTATTGAATAAAAAAACAAATGAAAATTCATGATTTGACCTTCTCTTGTCACTGCCCAGACCTGAGCCTCAAAATGAAGAACACGTTCAGCCAAGTTCATCTTCAAGTAACACCATTAGCAACTCCAGATACTTGTCTTTCTACCCACTTCTACACTCATAAAGAGAGATGGATTCCTTTATTCCTAGTTCCCTAAAATCATCAACTACTGCTTTACCTTTAAATGCTTTAATTGCTGCATTTTACAAAAAATGATAGAAACCTAAGGGGCTTATTTAAGTTCTGGACTGAAACCAGTTCTTCAGATTTAAAATGCCTGGCCTAATCCTGAACACCTAGGGTTAAATGTTCCTGTATACAGTTAGAGATTTCCATGAGATGTCAGAAGCTGGGCCTAAGACACTGCTTCTTTATAAGTTATCCAAATTAAGCTCAGCAGAACAAGGTTATCTAATTATATAGAGAGAAACTAGCAAATACTATTAAATTTCAAAATACTAAGCACAATTATTAACATTATGATCATTACATTATCCAGCCTTCCAGCTCCTGGAGAAATACAAGTCCATTTCTAAATAAAAAAATTAAGCGTTCTTTAGTAAATATGTACATACATACATACACATATATATACACACACACACACACACACTCTAAAACCAACTCACTAACTCACTGCCATCGAGTCCATTCTGACTCATGTGAGTAGATTGCCCCATCTTCCTTCCATGGAGCAGCTGGTGGGTTTGAACTGCCAACCTTCTGGTTAGCAATCAAATGCCTTAAATACTGTGCTACCAGAGCTCCATATAGAAAGAGAAAGAATCCATATATGCATTCCAAAAATTCAAAATTATCTGAAAAACTAAGAAAAGCATACCTGTTAGTCGAGGAGTACACTGTATGAGTGGAAATCAACTGAGCCAAACAAGCTGAAAGATACCTTCCCTCAAGTATCCTGCAAGTGGCTGAGAAGACATCTTCTTTGACCAGACACAATAACATGTATTAGCTGCCAACGAAAAGCTCGATGGTTCAAACTCACCAGCCACTCTACAGGTGAATGAGGCAGTCTGCTCCCACATAGATTTACAACCTTGGAAACACTATGGGGCCATTCTACTCTGCCCTAGAGGGTTGCTATGAGTTAGAACTGACTTGACAGCCATGAATTTGTTTTGGTTTAGTCTTATCAGTGCACAGGTCACAATATATCACCTTCTCCACTTTTTTTCTTTCTTTCTTCTCATATTCAAATATGCCGACCATAAAGCCTTCAATCCTAGAACTCTGAAGTCAACTTCTAAATGCGTATAAATGAAATTAAGAATCTCCTACCTCTGGTAGCATAGTGGCTAAAAGCACTTGACTGCTATCCAGAAGGCTGGCGGTTCAAACCCACCAGCCACTCCTCTGAAGGAAGACAGGGCAATCTACTTCCATAGTGATACTGCCTCAGAAACCCAAGGAGGGGTCGCTATGAGCTGGGTCCAACTCCACAGCACATAACAACAACAACAACACCTTTTGTTAACATTTGGGATAACTGGATAAAGAGTATATAGAATGTATTATTTTTTCAAAATTTTCTAAGTCTAAAATTATTTCAAAATGAAAATTTCAAACCCATAAAAAAGGTTTCATTTAAAAGACTCTCCCATCTCTGAATATTTTAAACTACAGCAATGATGCAATGACCAAGTTTATAGGTTGGGTTTTAAATCTGGGTCTAATACAGACCAGACTGCCTTCATTTCACCCAACATTTCTGGACACAGGTTATTTTCATCAACTTCTCTTCCTACCTGACATGCTCGATTGCAAGTGCTGTCTGATCAAACTCTCCAGAATCATCGAACACCACCCACAGCTCCTGCAGGGGCAACCGATGTTCCTTCAGATCAAGCAGCTCATTCATACACTCCAAGGTAAAAGTGCTCACTCGAGACTCACAGAGGTACGGCTCAGCAAGCCTCACCACTGCCTTCAACCCAGAGAAGTCCACGTCAGTGACCTGAAATTTAAAACAACATGGCTTGACTTAATACAGGAAAATCAAAATCAAGACACGCAGAAATCGCTAGTAATGGCTTGATTGTTAAAAAAGCATGAATGAGGGGGAAGGAGCCTCCTTCTGTGATACAAAGGATAAACAAGGCAGGTCTGACTTTTACTCTCATGGAGCTTACACTGTCATTGGTGACACGAATGAATACGCAAACATGATGACAAATATGTGACAGAGAATAACTAGCAGCAAGCAGTGCCTGGTTTTGCCAGGCTGGTCAGGGGAAGTCCCCTCCCAGCTGACATCAGAGGGATGAAAAGGAGGCAAGCACCTAAAGAGCCTAGGCAGGTGCTAAGGCCCTGTGGTGGAGAAGGGGAGGAGGGGTGGGATGGAGCAGCAGATGAGATGAGAGAGAGAGACAAGGGGACCAGGAGTGAAAGGACTCAGAGGGGCATGGGCCTTACATGTTCTCTACTGCAATGAGGAACCAACACTAGACCCTTAGTAAGTGCAATGAATTAAAGGTGTTAAGCACATTTTTCTTTTAAATGTGGGCAGAGAGACACTATCAAAACCAAATTAATAGGTCTAAATGACCAACATTGGCACAATCCAAAATCTGAAAATTCAAAAGGAACAGCTGCAACCCACTGCTGGTGTTAGGTGCCATCAAATCAGTTCCAGCTCCTAGTGACCATGCGTACAACAGAACGAAACGCAGCCCAGTCCTGCGTCATCCTCATATCACTGCTATGTTGAAACCCACTGTTGCAGCCACTCTGTCAATCCATCTCGTTGAAGGTCATCCTCTTTTTCGGCAACGCTCTACTTTTCCAAACATGATGTCCTTCTCTAGGGCTGGGCCTTCCTAACAACATGTCCAAAATACATATGACAAAGTCTCGCCATCCTCACTTCTAAGAAGCGTTCTGGCTGTGCTTCTTCCAAAGCAGAATTGTCCATTCCTCTGGCAGTCCATGGTGTTTTCCATATTCTTCGCCAACATCATGATTCAAAGGCTTCAGTTCTTCTCTGATGTAACCCACTGCCTAGTACATGATCATTGCAGTATGTGATGTCATTTTCTAAAGGAGCTGCAGCAACAACTTGGATTCACACTCCCTGGTTTAACATTTTAGTTCAGCAAGGTTCTTTGTGGTCCAGTTAACAAACACTAAGAAAAATTCACAGCTGTAATTAGAGTGCAAATTTAATGTAAAAGGCCCAGTCAGTTGAAAAATAAGATTGTTTTTTACTTTCGGCAGTGGGACACATTATCAAGAGATTAACCGCATCTCTACAAATTTGTTAGGCAACAAATGGGCTAGTTTTAAACTGCCTATTTGGTTTGAGCTACTTAATGGGCTACAACTAAGAAGGTAACAAATTAATTGAAACTCCACTGACTTCATAATTAGGTCTCTACATTTTTTAAATGATCTCAAATAATTCCTCCACTTCATAGGTTTATAATCCAATTCCCCTTGTCAAAGGGCACTGAAACTTCAACTACCTCAATTCCCTGCTAACTCCTCCTCAGTTGCTTTTAAGATTTGCAAAACACTTTATATACCACAAGGAGCCCTAGTGGCACAGTGCCTAAGGCATTTGACTGCAATCCAGAGGTTGGTGGTTCAAACCTACCACCGCTCCGTGGAAGGAAGAGGAGGCAATCTACTTCCATAAGAATTTACCACCTTGGAAACCCAATAGGGTGTATTTTGAGTTGGAATCTACTCGGTGGCAGTGAGTTTTTAGATACCATAAGGAGCCCTGGAGGCACAGTGGTTAAAGCACTCAGCTGAGAACTGAAAGGTTGGCAGTTTGAATGCACCAGCCACCCCGTGGCAGACAGATGTGGCAGTCTGCTTCCATAAAGATCTACAGCCATGAAACCCTATGTGGCAGTTCTATTCTATCCTATAAAGTTGCTATGAGTTGGCATCGACTTGATGGCAGTTGGGGTTATTTTTGTTATACACCATAGCAATTAGATGTGAAAAACATGCTATTTTCAATCAGCTCATAAACTTTAATTAAAAATAAGCACTCTGGCTATCACAGTCTGAAGGAAAGTGCTTTTAGCTAGAGACAAATGTCTTAACAACAGAATTAAATTTACCTCAACCAGCACCTCGAACACATTAGTGTGCCAGACTGCCCGCCATCCAGATGGTTCAACGACCTTCTCCAAGAACTCAGCTGTGAATTCTCTTACCTCAGAGGCCTTGCAGTCAGCTACAAACAAATTAAACACAATAAGAAATGAAACTGCATAAAGTAGAGAGAAGTTAATAAATCCATTAGGTCTACTTCCATCAGTGCCAACAACTGGCAGTCTGAGACACTAAACAGACAATCTACTTTAAACGAAAAGGATAACACACAAAACATAAAAGAGAGAGAGAGAGAACCTACTCACCTAAAATGTAATCTTGATACGCTCTGAACCGCTCATAGAACAGAAGTTGACTTGTTTGGAAAATTTCCGGGAAAAGTGTTTTACTTTCTAGCACAAAACTTTGTAAACTAGTACCTGCCTTATCATGGTTGCTACAGTCACTGCATGAGTCTTCCTCTTGGAACAAACCTAAAAGAATTAAAAATAAGCAGTCTCAACTATCCCAGACACTTTCAGTGTTTATAAATTGTCTTTTTCATATCCTTGCTTAGAAAGTCCAAGCAAAATACCAGCTAGGATTTGGTTATGCTGTTTTACTTACCTCGATCACTGTCAGAAAAAACAAGTTTTCCAAACATAAAAACATGTCAGATCCAAGATCTACTTCAAAACAACAAGAGCTTAAGAGTTTTCACAGGTTAGGTTTTTGCTCTTCTGTGAGGTTTACCAAAACCAAACCAAACTCATTGCCATCAAGTTGGATCTGACTCATAGCTACCCCTCCCTGGGGATTCCAAGGCAGTATCACTACAGAAGCAGATTGCCCAACCTTCCTTCTGAGGAGTGACCGGTGGGTTTGAACCGCCAGCCTTTTGGTTAGCAGTCAGATGCCTTAGGCACTACGCCAACAGAGCTCCCTCTGTGACATTTGGGGAGAGGCAAAAGAAAGGGTTGGTTTGTTTTTTAATTCAGTGAAAACCACCCAAGTTCTCCTTAAGAGGATACAGCTATGATCTTTACTAAGGAGTCTTGGTGGCATAATGATGAAGAGCTTGCCTGCCAACTGAATGGTCGGAGTTTGAACCCACCAGCAGCTCCATGGAAGAAAAGCCCTGGCACACGGCTCCTGTAAAGATTACAGCCTAGGAAACCATGTATGACAGTTCTACTCTGACACAGAGGGTCACTATGAGTCAGGATGGACTCAACGGCACTCAACAACATGATCTTCACTAGGAGGCAGTGGTGGGCCAGTGGAGAATTCCCATCTTCCGTGAAGGGGACTCAGGCTTGACTCCCAGCCAGTGCACCACCTGTCTGTCAGTGGAACTTGAAAGTTGCTATACTGCTAAACACGTTGCAGAGGAGCTTCCAGACTACGACTAAATAAGAAGGCTTGAAGCAGGAAGAAAGGCCTGGTGATCTACTTCAGAAAAGCAACAACAAAAACCACAGCGATCACTAAGATCTGACCCCAAGGAAAGCACAGGACTAGGCCCAGGGGTGCCACCCACCTAGATGGCAGCCAACAACACGATCTTTATTACGGCTAGCTGCTTATAATGGCCAAGGATCTGATCGTCATTTCATTTGTTCCAGAACAATTCTATAAAACTGCATTATAAATAGGGACATAGCTGATTTTCTATCGTCCATACAATATCAGCCTGTAAACGGCCCCTCAACAAACAGGGATTAGAGAGTCTTAATAATGCATAAGGTTTACTTCACTGAGGCTACTAGGTGCCTCCTCACTAATTTCAATGACTGTGTCTAAGGAAAAGATTAGAAAATGCTAATCACATTAGGTTGGGGTTGTGTGTAATTATGTTTCATAAGGTGTGATTCAGCCAGTGGCATATCTAATTCTGTGTAATAAGATGTTTTTAAAAGATGAAATGCCTACTGACTAAAAACAAATGCTGAGGGTACCATTTAGACCAGCAGAGCAGTTTCCAGTGGGGGTTTCAGGGAAAGGATCCGAAACCGTTAGGAGCAGCAGTTGTCACACACACACCAGTTTATTTTCTCCTTCCTCCAATTTCTTTGCCCTTTTTCAGGCCACTAGAGTCACTTGACCTCCCAGATGATCCAGTACACTCAAGGGTCTATCATTCACAAATACCAATGCACATGAGCCGTGGAGAGCACCTATACCTAATTAGCTGTGTGACCATTTTCTCATTGCCTCAGTTTCCTTGGCTATAAAGGGAGGGTAAAAACAGTACGCCTACTTCAACTTAAGTTAGAGAATTAAATAACAATTCCCATTATGTGGTAAAGGAGCTCTGGTGGCATGGTGCCTAAGGCATTTGACTGCTAACCAAGAGGTTGGTGGTTCAAATCCACCAGCTGGTCCACTACGTTCGTAAAGATTTACCACCTAGACAACCCAGTGGGGGTCGCTATGAGTGCGAATCAACTCAATGGCAGTGAGTTTGATTTTTTTGGGTATTACGTGGTGAGGTCTCTAGGTGGTGCAAACTGTTTGCCCTTGACTGCTATACTACAGTATAGGTTGGTGGATGGAACCTATAGCTGTTCCATGGAAGAAAACGCTTGGCTATCTGCTTCCCTAGTGCGATAAAAGCACTCAGCTGCTAATATAAAGGTTCGCAGTTTGAACCTATCAGCTGTTCCAGGGGGGAGAAAGAGGTGGCAGTCTGCTTCCGTCAAGATCAACAGCCTTGGAAACCCTACACAGCAGTTCTATTCTGTCCTATAGGGTAGACATGAGTCAGAATTGAATGGACAGCACACAACAATAATCTGCTTCCTTTAAGACTGCACCCAAGAAAACCCTATGAGCAGTTCTACTCTGTAACACATGGGATGGCCATAAGCTGGCATTGACTTCAAGGCAACTGAGAACATCACTTAGTAGATATAAATGTATGTTGAATAAATAACACTCTACATTAGCAGAATTCCTTATAGCCATTTTGAAAGTAATTAATCTTCACACATCATTCCCTCTTCACAATTCTGTAGGACCACTGTCTCTGACTGCCAGATGGGAAAACTAAAGCCAAGTGACTTTTGCTAGTTTACAAAGTTACTAAAATTAAGTAACACTTGTATTTTCTTAGGAGCTCGGTTGGCTTAGTGGTTAAAGCATTTGACTGCTTAACCAAAAAAGTAGCTCTTTCGAACCCACCAGCCCAGGACGGTCTGTTTCTATTAAAGATTTACATCCTTGGAAACCCTATGGGGCAGTTCTACTCTGGCCAAAAGGGTCACTATGAGTCGGAATCGACTGTGTGGCAGTGGGTTTGGTTTTGATGGGTTTATGTTTTCTTGCTTTGCCAGGGCTCTTTCCACAATACCACTTAAAATATTAAAGTGAAAACTCTGAATCAGCTTAAAACGTCAAGGAGAAAAGGGGGGAGGGACTGCACACAGAGGTCGAAAGGACTGAGAATTAGAAACCTGAGTCCTAGTTCTAGACTTTTCCAAACTGGCTCCCTAAATTCTGGGGAAATCGATTGTCCTCTGTGCTTAGGGAAGCTAGCTATGTCCAGAGTTCACGCTTCCTCCTTTTTCAGGAGAGAGAAGTGTGCCTCACGACCTCTTTCGTGATACAGATGAAAGCCATGGCCCTTTTTTCCGCAGATAAATGCGCAAAAAGGCCCATTAAACCCATCCAGGAATCGAGAACTGGGACTTCCTGGCTCAGTCGAACTCCATGCAGTCTCGGGAGAAGCTGAGGCAAGAGAAGGCGAGGAGAGGGGAAGTAGCCCCCGGGAACCTCCCAACTTTGGCATCCAGAAAGCGGATCCAGGGCTCGAACAGCCCTCACCGCCAATCTGGGTGGCGGGTCTGAAAGTGTCCCGACGCCCCACACCGCCGCGGAGATGGCCCGCCGCTAGGAGGCGGCTCCTCAGGCCCAGACAAGGCGGGTGCTCACCTTTCTCTAGGCTGGCCGGCTCCTCCTCGGCCGTCCAGCCTGTGCACTCTGGCTCTGGCGCCATCGCCTCCGACGCCAGACCACCACCCATCACCAAGCCGTTCGCCATTTCAAATTTCCGCGGGCTACCGCTTCAACCCGGTACTGTGATGACGCTACCACTTCTGATTGGAGAGTTGGACAGAGGCGCTTGGACCAATCAAGAGAAGTTTTGCCCTCCTTTGTTTCCGCACTGTATCCACCCTCTTTGCTACCTCCAGGCTCTACTAACAACGCTCTTTCGCCATCTACTGTCCGGGCGGACCGCTCTTCTCGTCCAAGCTCTTGGGACAAACTTGAAAAGTTGAATTGGCGCATAATTTGGGATGATTTCCGAACAACTAATAAGCCAATCCTGAAAATAGAATAAGGAGGAAAGCACTGGTTTGGGTGTCAAAAACAATGTTTAGACTTGTTTCTGCCATTACTGGTGATTTTATCTTGTCCAAATCATTTCAGCTCTCGGATACGCATCTTCAACCGTAATAGGAACTTGATCTGGGTGCGCTCAACCCTTTCCACCATCAAGAACCATTAAGTAGATTTTTCCCCTTTTTATTCACCAGGAGCAACTATAACCTCAAACTGTAATAGTCGGTTGCCATTGAGTCAGCTCCAACTGAAGGCAGCCCCGTGTGCATGTCAGAGTAGAACTGGGCTTCATAGGTTTTCATGGCTGATTGTTCAGAAGGAGATCACCAGGACTTTCTTCTGAGTGCCTCTAGGTGGACTTGACATCCTGTGAGTCAGGAAATATTAATTTTCCCATTTTACAGATAAGGAAATGGAATCACTAATAAGTCAAATAAAACTCACTCACTGCTATGGAGTTGATTTCAGCTTTTACCGACCCCCATTGGGTTTCCAAGAAGTAGATTATTGCCTTATCATCCTTCCACGGAGCAGCTGGTGGATTTGAACTGCCAACCTGCCAATAAGTCAAATAGCTTGCCCAATTTACCCAGCAGAGCTGGGAGTTGAAGCCAGTTGGACTCCAGAAGTTACAGTTTAAGGGATCTGGTAGGCTATCACCAGTCAGAGCCTACTTCAACTTAAGTTAGAGAATTAAATAACAATTCCCATTATGTGGTAAAGGAGCTCTGGTGGCATGGTGCCTAAGGCATTTGACTGCTAACCAAGAGGTTGGTGGTTCAAATCCACCAGCTGGTCCACTACGTTCGTAAAGATTTACCACCTAGACAACCCAGTGGGGGTCGCTATGAGTGCGAATCAACTCAGCCAGATGGCAGAGGTTACTAGGACACCAACTGGGACAAGTCCCAAAGAAGGCAAAAAGCCTTGACGACAGCCTATAAAGTTGTAACCTGAAAAATGCCGGGGTCCAGACCTGGAGCAGTGCAGCCAATAGTCCACACTAGAGTTCAAGGAGAAGAAGAGAGTACAATTAGGAGGTGAACCAATAAGAGATAGACAGGGGCTCAGTGACTCCAAAAACTACTCGCTCTGCTTAGCGCTTACAGTCAGGGTTTTTATACTAAAGGAAAAAGAGACTTAGTATGTATATAAGATTAGTTAACAATTTTCCAAATGTTAGATAGGGCAATGGGTAATTAAGAAAGGAATGTCTCTTGTGAAAGGCTTCACTGGTGTTTGTCAACGCCCAGGTGGCTGGGTCCTAAAGTCTGGCCCAGGAGCCTTTCTTGACAGAGATGGTTCTGTCTTAGATCACAGGGTGCAGCAGGAACTGATAACTGTAGCTTAGAGAGAGAACAAGTTAATTATAACACCAGGTAGAAGCCAGGTTTTAAAGAAATGGCGTCTGAACTAAAAATACGGAGTTTTATTCTAACAATATGGAATCATGCCTAACAAAGCAAAAAATCTTTATCCTCCCAAAATCTTAAATCCAGAAACCAAATTGGTTGCCCTGGAGTCAATTCCAACTAATACCAACCCTATAGGATAAAGCGGAACTGCCTCAGAGGGTTTCCAAGACTGTCATCAATGTGGGAGCATAGCATCAGGTATTTTCCCCTGCAGAGCCACTGGTGGGTTCAAACCACTCAGCTTCCTGTTAGAGGCTGAGCACTTAGTCACTGCACCACCAGGGCTCCCGATCACAGGTAAAACCTTGGCATTTATTGCCTTCAGGGAAAATCTTGGGCTGAGTTCTCTCAGCTCCCTCACAGCTGAAGTGAAATGGAGCCAGAAGAAGCAACTGTGGAAATCTGCACTTAAATCAGCTAGCTTTCTCCAGGTAACAAGATTTCTTTGCCTCCTGTGGGCAAAGACCTTACAAATATTTATTGAGCACTATAAGAAGTTCAACAGGAAAACAGAAAATCAAGATGAGCATCAGGCCTTGAGGACTAAGCTCAAACCACTAAACTTCCAATTAGTAGCTGAGCACTTAACCACAGTGCCACCAGGGCTCCTTACAAACACCAGAGTGGCAAGATTTCTGCTCACCCATTTCCCTTGGTGTTGGAGACGACATAGCCCTTTTCTTGCTCAATTCATGATCATTTCATCAACCCTCAAGATCCAACCCAATACACATAGGTAGAAAGGCAAGAAAACAATTTAGGAGATAAAAAAAGATGGAACCCAAGCCAGGGCCTCTGGAAAAGTATTGGAAAGGAGTAGGAAGCAACAGCATCAGAGCCAAAATAACTATGCTTTTGCAAACCCCATTAAGGACAAATTATTTATTAAACTGGGTATATTTGCTGCACACCACCCTTCTACATTCATTCTTTGTTTGCTCAACTGTTTTCAAAGAGTTTCAGAGTTTACCCAAAAGTGGAGATGTTTGAGAAGGACATATTTCATAGAAGCTTGTTCCCACTGCCCCCTCCACTTCCCCCCCACACACACACACACACACTCATCCTAAGGAAAGGGTTTTCTCCTTCCTCCTTTTCCATCCCTCCACCAACACAATCTTCTACCTGCCCTAAGGTGGAGTGTCACCCACTGTTTTCTGGGCTGTTTTTTTTATTATTGTTACTTAATTTTCTCATTACTGGGTCCTTACACTATCTACAAATGTGTCAGAACTAACTACCCTCCAAAGAAAAAACTTCCCAAAATCCAAGAACCAAACTTCTCAGCAGCAGTGCCTTCCCTCCCCTACTCTCTTTAAAGCCAGTGGCACCCTCCAGGGGCCTTTTTCCAGCTCCATCACCCTCCACCCCATGGCAGCAATTGGCCAACCACCACACCCAGTGTCGCATTACCCAACAAGCAAGTTAAGCTTGGGTTTACTTGTATTTATTTACTAATCTGTAGTGAATAATTGCACATTTTTTCACTGCATCAAAGATTCTGCTTCCAGATATGGCTGGTATATGTCTCTCTCCCAACCCCATAGCACCTTCCTACAGAATCAAAACCTCTTTTCAAATTTACAAACCCGGGTGGCATAGTGCCTAAGTCATCTGACTGCTAACCAGAAGGCTGGTGGTTCAAACCCACCAGTCACTCCTCGGAAAGAAGGCTTGGCAATCTACGTCCATAGTAATACCGCCTCAGAAACCCAAGGAGGGGTCGCTATGAGTTGAGTACGACTCCACAGCAGTGGGTTTGGGTTTTTGGTTTTGGATAGGGATGGAGTACCCAGTAAGCAAGGTGATATTGTTAGGGTTGTGGGTCAACATGGCTGGGCCATGATCCTCAGTAATTTGGCAGCTAAGATATAGTTTGGCAGTTATGTAGTGATGTAGTATTCCCTGTGATAAGATCTGATATAATGTAATTACTTCCATGATGAGATCTCCTGTGAGCAGCCAATCAGTTAAAAGGGACTTTCCTCACAGGTGTGCCCTGCATCCAATATACATGACCTTTTGGCAAAGTTCTCTGACCTTTTGCTCTATCTGGATCCCACATCTGGTTCATCATCATCTGACCTCCAGTTCTTTGGACTTAAGCCAGTGGCCTGCAATACTCTGCCAGTCTTGGGTTCAGGCCCTGTAGCTATGTGAATCAGAAGAAGCCTCCAGTCTGACAGCTGACCCATGGACTTAGGACTTGCCAGACTCTACAACTGCATGAGCCATTTCCATGAGATAAGTCAATCTCTCTCTCTCTCTCCATATATATATATATATATATATATATATATATA